ACTGATTCGAAATGAAACGTTTGCAAACAAATTGCCAAGCCCGGTGAACAGGCGAAATGGAAGTTAATCGCATTCGTCACCAGGAGACTAATCTCAGAATAATAAATCTGAAGCTCGTAACGATCATGTTTGAAGACCCACAATGAAATGTTTGAGTGCTCTCGGCAATGATGCACATGTATCAGTCCCCTTAGATCTTCAGCCAATAAACCTTTTTCTGTAACTTAGTCCTAGTCGTTAGCGAACATCCAACCTCCCCTCAAAAGAGTGAACGAAAATACGGTGCTAAGATCCGAAACAAATTACGGTGTGAGATGAACCAAAATTTTTAACGACGGCTCAACGACTGAGATTTAACGACTTACCGAGTGGTCCCGAAACACATGATTGTGAAAAATAGCTTGAGCACTTTGAACATGTTGCGTTAGAATCGAGGTGATTTCAGTCACCGCTGCATCAACATCGCCTTTGACGTGGCCAATTTTCATTACTCGATTCCAAAGGAACGTGTCAGATTGCAAAAGAAGATTACAGACGCGTTTCTTGTCTTTACTTCCGGTTTGAGCACCAAAGGTGGCAAAGTAACTGGGTGCTTGGTTTGCACTAGATTGATCCAAAGGTCTCAACAATTGTGGAGACAGATCACGTTTGGCACGTCCTGTGTATCAAAGATATGACGGAAAGGGAAACCACTGTTACAGAAAAATAGGATTCCAGATAAGTAACTCCACTTTATTCACCATAAGACAAGAAATGGAAACACGAACCCTAAAGTAGATGAATGCTGCGTTGGGAAATAACATACCAAGAAAAGTAGCCTCCAACGCAGTCGACCGCATTGTACTTCGGCGCTGCCTCCATTTAAATTGTCTCGCTGAAGTTTGCTTCACTATTACATTCCGTTTCTAAGATCTGAAGCCGAAACCCAATTCACGCTTATGGCTCTTTATCCCTTGAGTTCACCAAGAAAAGCGGTATTCGTCAGGGTCCCTCTGTTCCTCTACTTTTCGATACCACTTTGAGATGAATGCGATTCTGAAAATGGCTCAGTAAGCGTGTGAGGATTGTGGTGCAATCTCCGCTCAGGTGGCAAGTTTTCTTATCTTCAGTATGCAACTGGTTTCGCAGCAGTGGCTTAGCCGCTACCACCGGCGTGCTTTGGGCCCTACGGTCCGACGTACGCGCTCCACTACCGCTACTCAACTCCGAAAGCCTCACTATGGTCGGGGGCGGATGTTTCGGGTTGTGGTTTATCACCCTTCCCATGCACCTCGCGAAACGCTCCCATACGACCAAGCGTCTCAAGCAGTCTCTGTTGAGAAAGCCCTACTCACTGCTTTCTCCAGGCGGAGATGTTTTCTCACCAAAGTGAGACGACAAAAAGTTAATATCCGGGGTTATAACCGGATTTACCGTCAGTGAATCACTGGCAGTTCACCTAGGGGAGATTGCTAAAAACAATGATTTGAAACCAAATGAGGCGTGCGAACCACAAACAGACCTTCTTGGTTGTGGCAGTGGCCACTGGCTCAACTGGACCTTCAATGGTTCCCCACTCCAAGTCCCGGGGCTTAGGTTATCGGTTGCCATCAGTGAACAGTAGTTTTTCGTGATTAAGGGATCCACCCCGTTAGATGTTCGTCACATAAAAATGTGTAATAAAAAGGTGCTGAGTGTGG